TTACACAAACTATGAAGTTTACATAATGAAACACAAGGAAACATTCACTGCTGATTAAAATGAAAAATGGGTTTATGACTTTAAACCAAATAATGTTTATTTATATATTGTTCATTAAATGTTTATTTATTTAAAATATATTGTTCATTTATATACTACTAAATAACAATTAACATTATTATTCATTTTTATCAATAGGTAGACCAAAGCAGGAAGTTAAGGATGCAAACACAACTCAACTAATGCTTTTTGAAGAAAACACTAAATGTAGGATCAACAGAAGATTAGCAAGGAAATTTGCAAAAGAGTAGTATTGTATGAGCATTTACAAATTGATATATGTTTGTTTCGGGGTTTTCTGATGTGTCCTGCGGGAGAGTTACAATTCCAAGAATGCCCTTCGACCGCCTGTACCTGCAAAACCACGAAGACTCCGGTTGGGTGGAGCTCCGCCTCCGACGATCAAGTCAGTGATGTACGGGAGGAAGAATGTGCGTAAAAGAGAGATTACTTCTCGCGTAATGGGAGAATTCTGCAATTAAGATTGCTCGGGTTTAGTGTAAATGGTATTTATGAGTCTCTTCTTTTGAAGAAATTGAATGGAATGTATTGAATGCCCCATTAATGAAGATTCTCCCACTATTTATAGTGGGGAGACTTGGTTCCCCATTTAGGGTTTCTAGGACACGTGTCAGCAGGGGATTGGAGCCCTGCTGACCAATGGCGAGGTGCCACGTGTCGCTCAGCCATTGGGCCACGTGGCTGGGGTTAAATTACCCCAAACAATGTTCATTTATTCATAGATATTTTAAATAACATTATATGTTGACATTTAAATAATTTTTAGTGAACAAGAGACGGATAATCCAAATACTGATGACGAAATTCAACCTGAATCAGTAAATCCAGAGTATGATTTCTATAATGTTTACTTTTAATAAATTATATGTTCATTTTCATATTAGTTGATAATAAACATCATTGTTGATTTTCATTTAATAATTCAAATCAATTGAAGTGCACACAAGCTAAGTGAATATTAAGTACAACCAGGAGATGATGTATCTACAACTGAAGACGCACTTTTTTTTTTTTTTTTGAACAAACTCAGGACACACATTCATACATAATAAAAAAAAAAGTATGTTCAAATGTAGATAACTAAATGTTCATAAGTATAACGCTTAGTTATGCTTATACATTCTTATCATAAAATAAAGGAAGTATATATCAACTTTGAAATTTCTTCAAAAGCTGGGCAAAAATAGAACAATAATAAGTCAGAAATCTAGGTTTGCGCCTTTAAAGCTAACTATTTAAGTAAAATTTCATAAACAAGTTATATTATTTAATGTTCAATTATGTAGCACATAATGTTCAATTATATAGCACTTAATGTTCAGTTTAATAACAATTCATTTTCATTAACGGGTAGGCCAAATCAGAAGGTTGAGGATGCAATACACTACTCAACTAATGCTACTGAAAAAACCATGAGTCTAAGAATAATAGAATAGCAATCAAGAAGATTTGCAAAGGCATAATATAATATTTTCACTTATGGATATATATTATTTGTTAACAGAATTACTCTATGTTGTTTAATTTTTAATTTTTCACGTTTGAAGTTTGATAGATATTATTTGTTTACAGAATAATTCTTACAATTTTATATGAAAATTGTGGGTTTATGTAAAGTATTATGTTTATCAATTTTGATCATTCACAAAAGCTAAATGATTCCTTACAAAAACTTAATGATCACTTTTAGAAACTAAATGATCAGTTTCAAATACTAAAATATTCACTTATAGAAGAATAAAAATAAATTAATATCTCAATAAGAAGAATAGTACTTAATAACAAAAGGTTAAATGTATTCTTATAAATATTAGGAGCCACTTGAGCATTTATAGGAATTTGTATATTTTTGGAAGCTAATGGGAGGAATTTGAGCACTCGATCTCTTGAACACTAGAAGGAACTTGATCATTGGTTTGACCACATAACTGAAATTTGAACACATTTCATAAACTTCTTCACTAACTCAGACTTATTTGCTTCTTCAAAATAATAATAATAATATCCTTTATCGATCCCCCACTGCAGTAATGTAACATGTAATAAATAAACAAATACATACATTAGCAATAATGTTCAATTATAATAATGCATTTGGTCAATTACAGTTAAATTATCATATGTAAAAATATAAATGATCATCTATCGCTACATAACTGAACATTATTTTTGAAACTACAAAATAGTGATAGTCATTAAAAGTCACATGTACAACATATAATTCCATAAACACAAGTAAATATATAAACGAACATTTAGAATTACATAAATGAACATTATTACGACATAACAAATATTAATATATATTCACTAGTTAAAATGTATATGAGCGTTTACAAAACAATGAAAATAATTGAAATTCACATGTACAACATATATATTCAATTACAACTACAATAAACATATAGTTTACTACATAAAACATACATTAAATATAAATGAATATTTACTATTACAAAAGTGATCATTATTTTAACTAAGATTATTTTAATACGACACACAAAACTGGGCAAAATAATCGATTAGCAAAATTAAAAACAATAGATACTCATATAAAATGCACAAAATTGGAAAAAAACAACAATCAAATAATAACATTACAATAAAAAATACAAAAAAAAAATAACAATCGAATTAGAAGAACAATACAGCCTGAATTATTAATCAACTAATAACAATAGTAACAATACCAAAACCAGAGCATTATCAAAATTAAAATCAATACAACAAAAACTATGAAATAAAAACATTATAATCGTACAATTACAATCGTAAAACAGCACATTATCAAAATTGAGTGACTGATTATCATTAAAAGTACGAATTACTTACATTAATCTCAATGAAAGAAGAGAGAGAAAATTGAAAAACAATAATAATAATAAAAAAAAACAGGAGAGAGAAAATGATATCAGTGAAAAAGAGGAGAGATAAAATGAAGCAAATGAGGTCTGTAAAAATGTTTATATACAGTACTTGTTTGAATGGATAGTAAAGAAGGAAAGGAAAAAAAAAACATGCAAAAAGTGCTACCAAATGAAACGACATAACATAGGAAGGGGGGTGTAGGGGGAGCTGCATACACTTGGAAAAATTTTGTATGACCACCCAAATTGGCAAATACTACTTGGAATTAGAAAAGCTTCTTTTTTAGTGGGAAAGGGGAATGCATTAATTAATTAAAACACCAGTACATAATTTACAGCAGGAAGACGAAGACCAAATACCAAGGCTATGGTTTACAGCCATTATAGGCTTACAACAATAAAAGCTTTCACATTTATATATACTGCCAAATGCCAATTACTTTAATTTTTAGATTTACGCTTTCACTTGTTCACCTGTTAGCTGCGAAACTAAGAAAGAGTGGGCGGCGGTTGCCGGAACACAACTTGCACAAGTGATGAAGCAACGGCTGCCGGACCACGAGCGGGCTACAACAACACAATTGGTTAAGAATATGTGGCTGGTTGGTTGCGACGCTCCGGTGATGCAGTCATGCGGAGGGAGTCTCGGCGGCTTATGGGTGGCTAGGCACTGTGGTTGCGGGAGACTAGGAGAGAGATTGAGTGAAAGAGTAAAAGTTTTAAAGTTTGAGATTTTTGAGGCATTTGACACTTTGACAGATTGTCTGATTTGTTAAAGATTTTTTTTTTTTTTTTTAGATAAATAGAAAACCGGATAGGATTGGATATCCAAATTTTCGAGATTCTTAATGCGAATCCGATCCGAAAATTTTCGGATATCCATTCCAAAATATCCGAAATTTAAAAAAACGGAATGAGTATCCAATTTTTCGGATCGGATCATCGCGAATCACGGATCAGATCAATCGGATCGGATTTTTTGCCCAACCCTAATAGAAACAAAGGTAATAATACCAAATTGTAATAAGAGTTTATTCCCAAATAAAAAATTTCGTGGTTTCCAAAAAAAAAAAAAAAAAAAAAAAAAAAAAAAAGATTTTTCGCACACAATATGTACTCCCTTGTACATAAAATATTAAATCAACGTTGCCTTAATCTTTCTAATTTAAAAAAAAAAAATCATAATCACATAAACCCACATGCTTTACTCTCACTTGCTTCCTAAATTTTTCATTTATTTTTCCGCTTCTACATTCTTCTCATTTTTTTTCTCTAACTCCTTATTAACACGAAACATTACGGAGTACAATCAACTGGCTATTATCCCGAAACATTACGGAGTACAATCAACTCGCTTAACCCGCAACTCGCATAAAATCCAATCCGCAACTCGCATAAATCCAATCCGCAACTCGCATAAAATCCAATCTAACCCATAAATATGGCCACATGGGTGCCTAGTTGTGGAGGCCGTTACAGTACCCAAAAAAAAAAAAGAATAAAAATAAGTTACATATCGCAATAAAAACAAACTCCAAATATATATATTCGTTTAATAACAGTCACATCTCACGTCTCCCATGCTTTCGTCACTTTTCTCCTCTCACACACTCTTTCTCTTTCCACGTCAGCAACAAATCCTTTAATTCTCTAACAAACGTTGACTTAAGTCACCCTTCTTCTTCTTCCCAAATACTCCAAAGTACACAAAAATTAAAACCAAAAAAATAAAAATAGTGAATGAAATTATCAAAAGCTTAACCGCCAAGCAAAAAGGACACCATTGTAAATTCACAATTTTGGGCTTCCGACCCTTCTAGAATTCCTCTCTAATATTTTTTATTTTGAAAGGCAAAGGTAATATATTAAATCAAGAGAAGTCCATCGAGGCCAAAGAAACAATGCTTTGGGGGAAAGAATCAAAACGAATAAGTTACTGACTCTCCCCCGTAGAAACTAGGTGAGCGACCGTACTACAGCTACGCTTTGCTTGAGTGACTATAGATATATATACACAACAGTTGAATTGCCCATTTTCATCGCTAACATTTTCAATTTTCTCTAAACCAAAAAAACAAAAAAAAAAAAAAAAAAAAAAAGGTTTGTGTAAGAAAAACAAAAATAGAAGGTGGTTATGGAAGAGGACGTGGTCGTGGTCGTGGTCGAAGAGGAGATGGAGGTGGCGGTCAGGGCAGCGGCGGTCGTGGTATTGGTGGAAGAGGTGCTGGCTATGGCTGTACAGACGGAGGTGGTGGTAGTCATGGCGGAATTGGCAGAGGTGCTACTCATGGCGGAAGAGACGGAGGTGCTACTCATGGCGGAAGAGGCGGGTTTGGTCGTGGTGGTGGTGGTAATCAGCATTACCAGCAGCATCAGCAACCGCGACCACAGATTAAGCACCACCAGCCTCATCAACCGCGACCACAGTTTCAGCAGCACCAGCAGTGGCCGCAACAACCGCCGCAGTTCCAGCAGCAGTGGCCACAGCAACCGCCGCATTACCAGCAGCAGCAGAGGCAGCAGCAGCAGCAGCAGCAGGCGAGTGATGGTAGTATGGGGCCTAGTAGGAGGTATTCTGGCGAGGGTTCTTCTTCTTCTTCTAACAAGCAACTAGCGTACGTTGGTGATGGTTTTGCTGCTAAATTGCGACAATGTGCTAAGTCTGTTCCTGATCCTAATATTGATTCTGGTATACCTCTTTAAACATTGTTATGATTCACAGAAATTATAATAATAATGTTATAATGTCGTCGTTATTTGCATTATTTATCATATACGACGTATTATTGATAAATTGTTTGCAAATTTTGTTTGATTGATTTTCTGCTTTTGTTATGGTGTTGTTTGGGTTGAATTTTAGTTAGTTCCATTATTATCTTATACGAATTTGAATGTTGATCATCTGGATGATTTTTAACAAAATTGATGTGTGATTTTGTGAATTTTACATGGATTATTTGTGAATACTCATCGTACATGTTTTTGTTGATATTATATGATTTGCACTTAACATATAATAATAATGTTATAATTTCATCATTATTCATTATTCACCATATAATACTGATAAATTGTCTGGAAATTTTGTTGGATTGATTTTCTGCTTTGGTTTGGTGATGTTTGGGTTGAATTTTAGTTGTGCCATTATTACCATGTACGAATTTGAATGTTGATCATCTGGGTGATTTTTAACAATATTGATATGTGATTTGTGAATAGTAGTATATGGATTATTTGCATTGAAATTCATTGTATATGTTTTGTTATTGCATTTAGCTTCTTAGATCCTCTGTTTCTCAAACTCTTACTTTGTGTTTTATGCATAATTCTTGATACTAAGTGTAGAAATGTACGATTAGCCTAGCGTCATTTGCTTAAATTAGCTTTAATTGTCGGGGTTGTATGTGGCTAGACTCTCCTCCTTTTCGTGAGACGTTGAACAAGCCTGTTTCATGAGGTAACATAGTTTAAGGGTTTTTTTTTTGTAGTGAACAATTATTAGAATTATAGGTAACATTCCATCTATAAGGTTTTAGTCTTCGCACTTCTGCTATATTTTATACAACAGTTTTTTTCTTCTTTTGAAATATTTTAATGGTTGAAGGTATCAAGCATGTGTCTCAGACATTCTGATTTAATGCCAATTCATTGTGGGTTAAACTGTTATACTATGACACTGTGTCCTACCTCCTGTGAGTGTCAAAGACTAAATTTGAAATGTAACTGATTAGAAGTTTAGAACCTACATTCTGACACAAGGATGTACATTATGTGACGAAATGCTTAATTTTAATCATGTTTGTTTGCGATGATAAAGAGATTATGCTGGTCATTTGAGGCACCCACATATAGGATATGTGCACTATTGTCTGAATTTTATATAATGCTCCCTCTATCTCAGAATGTTGGTTCTGCTACGAAAAGGTATTCAAAAATCGGAAAGAGCATTTGTTGGGCTGTTTTTATACTGCATTATTTAATAACCAATGTACTTGTTGTCTTGCCATTGCTACTTTATTCCAATGCAAAAAATTTATTTTGGGTAGTCAAATTTTTTGTATCATTTTTATGAATGCTATGAGTACCTTTGACATGATTCTCTGTATTTTTATAGGGGTGAAATTAGAATAAATTTTGGAATTGATGTCACAACAAGCATGACAACAGTCGAATTTAGTGTGATGGAGCCGCTAAAATTGAAGTTGAGAAATCTAGATGGCTATGTAAGAGCTATAGATGTGGACAAAGAGAAATGCCAGTGGAATCTTGTTAAAAATTTAGTCTTTGAAGGCCCATCCCTTAAGCACTGGGCTGTTGTGGTATTCAACTGTCCGAATTCTTCAAAAGAAGTAGATTTGGTGATGCTCTTTGTTCAGAATCTTATTAGACGTTGCAAGACACTAGGGTTGCATATGGAGGATCCTCTGTCTACTATATGGGCTAGCATGGATGAATTGGAAAGCGCAGACTCAGTAACTAGTGTTCTGGAACAGGTTCAGCGTGAGGCACACGAAACTAATGAAAGTAACCTGCAGCTTGTATTATGTGTGATGGCGCATAAGCATACTGGTCATAGGAACATTAAGTGGGTTTCTGAGACAAAGATAGGAGTTCTTACCCAGTGTTGCCTTTTTGACATGGCAAAAAGAGGGCAGGACCAGTACCTGGCTAATCTTGGCATAAAGATAAATGCTAAGCTGGGGGGTAGCACTGTTGAGCTTAATGATCAACCTTCTTTATTTGATGAAGCTGCAGACCATGTGATGCTTATTGGTGCTGATGTCAATCACCCACCTCCCTCGGATTCCTCAAGTAAATCAGTAGCTTTTGTTGTTGCTTCAATGAATTGGCAAGCTGCAAACAAATATATTTCCAGAATAAGCTATCAGAAAAATCGTCTGGAGGAAATTAAAATGTTTGGATCTATATGTCTAGAGCTGATAAAATGTTATGAAAACATAAGTAGAGTCAAACCAAATAAGCTTGTGACATTTCGTGATGGTGTCAGTGAAGGGCAGTTTGATATGGCATTCAATAAAGAGCTTCTGGATCTGAAGGATGAATTGCGGAAAATAGATAATTACCACCCTACCATAACACTTATTGTTGCTCAAAAACGGCACCTGACACGCTTATTTCGAGCAGCCCAAGGAGATGACGAAAATAACATACGTCTTGGCACGGTGGTGGATACAGATATTGTTCATCCATCACAGTTTGATTTCTATCTCCGCAGTCACTATGGGAGCATGGGTACCAGCAAACCGACTTACTACCATCTCCTGTGGGATGATCACAAATTTTCTCCTGAGAAGTTGCAACAGTTCATATATCACCTGTGCTTCACCTTTGCTAAGTGTTCTAAGCCTGTTTCACTGGTTCCTCCAATCTACTATGCTAATCGGTTAGCCTTCAGAGGACAATTGTATTGTGATGCGCAGCGTCCTTTAGGAGAATCACCGTCTGATCGAAATCCAGCTCACTCTGACATTAAAAACTTCATGTATTTCATCTGACCGGGCTTTGCTTCTCCTATGTTGCACTTCCGCTCCATGGATTGGTCAAGGAAGTCTCGCACAGCTCATGTTTCTAATGGTGTTGGCCTCATGCACCTTTAGGTTGCATTTGTGCGTGAATCTAATACTCTTAATATATAGCTTTGGTGTGTTTAATAATAAGGATAGATGTCCAAGTATCAGTTAAAACTTTAGAATGTGTGTTTGAACTAAGTTTGATGTCTATTTTGGGTAGCCTATATTTGTGCTAAGGCTCTTGTAGCCAAGAACGTGATGCTTTAATAGTATGTTATCTGGTATTTGTATTTTTAATGTGCGTTATTATGGATAATTGCAGGGTGTTTTTGTTACTATGAAGGACTAGCTTGTTGCTGTGTCTCTGCACTTATATTAAATAACGTCACAAAATTAGTTCGCGAGTTTGGTTAGAATATGGACTCAATATATTTGGATAACAAGTAATGGAGAGAAAGGGTGGGAAGTGAAAGGTAGGGGAATAACTTTCTTTGTTTGGATAAACATCATCATTTCCTTAAGATTGGAGGGGGAAAAAAAAGTTAGCCTTCCTCCTCTTTCTCTCCCATTCTTTTCCCTACTATCTAGCTATCCAAACAAAGCGTAGGATGTAAGTAGCTTTGTTTTGATGGTTATCTTCGAGATCAACATATACCGCCTCCTTGTGTATTTCCGTGTTCTAGAGAGAGGTTATACTTACAGAGTTATAGGTACTGAAACTGGAAATCCAGAATTGCAATGGAGCAAGGGTTGTAGAAAAATACTAATAAAAAAATTAGTGCAGTGGTATACAGGATTTTTTGATAGTCAGTCATCAATAGTATAACAACAAAACAAACGGGCAAAATTAATTGAAACAGACATAACCATCGTAAGATGTCAAGGTACAGGCTTGAAGTCGAGAGTTGATGCTCCCATGATTATTAACTGTATTGGCATACTGCAGAAAATATGTTTCATGAGTTAGTAGTTTAGTACTTACTTGGGTGGAAGCAGGCAACACATATAGTTTCGCTACAAATTTAACAATGTATTTGCTTGCTACTTGTTTTGTTTTCCTACGATTTACCTTCTGCTACTGATATCTTCCAGAGAAGTCCGGGCCATCAAGTCCTTTAAGGCTGGAAAACTAGGCCTAGACAAAGTACTGGCTCATTGTGAATTAGCTTCGGATGACAGCAGTCTGAACTCTATAGCTAATTTGACAAACCAGGGTAAGAAACCATTTCCCTTAACCTCTCTCTCCTTGTTTCACCGCTAATAGTATTAACACCGCTCGGTTAAGGGCATTTGCAGTTATGTCTTCTTAGCAGATGGTTAGCGATTTCTAGGATATATTTGACTCATCCCAGCTTTGGCATTCAGTTTTACCCATAGCAAGAAATGGAAACCATTCTTGTTGTTCTAAAATGCTTTTATTCATTTAGCTTGTTCAATGATTTAATTAACAATAAGCTGGACAAAAATAAGTAAAGCTGGACAAAATACGGAGTAATAAGTTTTTACTTTTTGATCTTAGTTTGTCAAATGGTGTAGACATGATTGTATTTCCAAAATCTGTTCTATGTTCAAATTCCATCTCCAACAGATAACATCGTCATCTTTGGACTTTGGCAGTTGTTACACACGGACATTAAACATACATGAACAATATGTAGGTCCTTTCCATTATAGGCCAAAAACTAAATCAAGTTAATCTACATAGATCCATCTACTGGTTTCTAATACAGTCAAGCCTTAGCATCTTCAGCCACTGTTTCCACGGGTTCTTCCTTTGCTTTATCCATTGCGACAGCTTCCACAGATTCATCTTTCCCCGCTTCTTCACTTTTTTTTGGTTCTTCTATAAGTTACGCAAAAATGTCAATTACCACATCAAAAAATCATTACTAACTATAAAAAAAAGCACCTTCTTACTCCATATATATAAGCATATATACAGAGTTCAAATAAACAGAAAGCAGCACAAAGGCATGCATACAATTCACCAAAACTTCACACATTGCAGAAAAACAAGAAAAAACACCACAAATTGATCAATTAAAGTTGATAAGATGAACGAAAAAATGTTCAAGTCGTCTTCTAATGCTAACCTTCTTCGTCCATTGTATCATCCATATCAAAATCATCATCCCCACCCATGCCTAATTTCTGCACAATATCAATTTTTATTAGCAATCCTAGACTTATAACTCCACAAGTTAGAATTACATGGACTAATTGGTTCATGCAAAATATAACTTGTCTGACAGAATACAAATCAATAGAGCATTCGAAAAGCTACTGAAAACAAACAGTAAATTAGCACATAAGGAAAATTTTGTATGGGAGAGTTCAAAGCAGAATGGAAAAAGAAAAGCTTGATTGTAAAAAAATAACAATTTCAAATTACACCACATAAGAAATGAAAGAACATAAACAGGCATAAATTTTCTTGTCAACTGTCACCTAGAGAGCAGCACTTAAAATTCATGATGCAGAAATTCTCTCTATTACTAATCAAATTTAACAGCATTATAACATTGTGAGCCATGTTTAGATATTTTTCTAATATTTCACTCCATAAGACTTCAAATATAAACAACAGCAACAACTGAACCACTTTGAACACATGAAAACTTACCGAGAAATCCATGTCACCGAAGTCAAAACTCTTCTCTGTTGCAAAGATACAAAATGTTTTCATGAGTACAAGAAATTAAGATATACCAAATAATACAATTAGCTTAGAGTAAATAACAAAGCTTACCATTCTCCTCATCTTCATCAACCCATTTATCCCAGTCAACCTTGAGGAAAACTGGTGGCTTCCCTTCTTCTTTTAAGAGCCTGCTCCACCATTTCTTCTCTGCTTTTTGAATAACATAGACAATTTGCCTCACCCCAATGTTATACTTGCTCTCCTGAAATCGAAATTTACAAGCCGGAGTCAGCTACACCAGTATTCCACTGTTAGTATAGCACAAGCCTCGCTAAATAACATACCTCTACACTGATCTTATCCAACAACTCAATGTCAACCTCGTAAGGGTTGCCATCTTTCATAGCTGAAAAGAAGAACTTTCCATCAGGCTCAAGCTTCAGCTTTACATCTTTGGCATCAGGTAACTCAACAGTTATATAGATCTTGTCAGACGTCTGAGCCCACTTGACAGTTGGGTGTCGACTACAAACATTATGAAACATGTTAGTATCTTTGGAGCTTGTCAAAGTTTAACATTATTAGTGCCAGAGATTAAGCACAACACTGAAATCAGATGCAATAGAATGACCTATAACATTTCACACTACCCCCCCCCAACACACGCACACACACACAACCCACAAAAGTATTCCTTCAAAGGTGACAACAGCTAACAACCTTTAAATGATGACACAATATTAATCTTATACGAAGTACCTAAGTATTGTAGAAGCTTAAATTCAGAGTAAAGAAGACTACAAAGAAAACTCATAGGATACTATTGACTAAATAACATATATTCGGCCACTATATTAACCTCCTTAAGGAATCTTTGGACCATACCATGTACATTGTTACCGCCTACAACACTAAACGAAGGCCTTACCCCCCTACAGTGCGTAAGGAACCTCTACAAAGAAATTCCCATAATATTTTTACCCTAATTTTTACCACCTAACTTCTAACCATATACTAATAAATAGGCAAACTTAAAAACTAATATAAGAGTAAGATGAGTATACGAAATACTATATAAGTAATGGATAATAAACACAAAGAGTAGACCAACCTTTTTCCAGTACGATGTATAGGAAACCTAATGTTGTATTATTCTTGTCTATAATTTTTTACAAAAATATTTCTTAAAAGAGAACCAAGGTGATTAGAATGAGCCTAAGATGCTCAACGCTTTGTTTAAACATAGAGCATGATTAGACCAACCAGAAATAAGATCTATACTAATTCAAGGTCCGGTATAAGGTATCCAATTTTTAATTCTTGTCACCCTATCAATTCTAATCAAACAACCAACACTATAGCAATCATATTAAAGTGTACCAACCAAATAAAATTGGTAATCTTGGGATAATTTGCATCAAATTCTTAATGGTTTGCTTGGTAAATAATTATAATGATGGTAATGGAATTAATTTTATACTTAATTTTAAAAACAAAATCTCATGTCAATACAAGATCGGAATGAAGTTTAACATGGTAATGAAAGCGGGTTGTTCTTACAAAAGTACATACAAACATAAAACATTATCATATACAAGTTATGACTTAACAAACTAGCCATAATATAATTCTCTAAATTTCAATCAACTTAGAACAGGAAATTCAGTAAGTCCATTTTTTTTCCAAAAATTACTGAATAAATATTAATAATTTTAAGTCACAAAGCTCACAATTGCTTTAACATAAGCATTTCCACCATTATAACTTCACTAAGGCTCCATATATTTTGAAAGAAAATAGTTTCGATTTTCAAACTAAATTATACAAAAAAATTCTATTCTCTAAAAGAAGGAAAGCCATTCCTCCGCTCTTAATATGCTCTACTCTACATAAACTTTCCTCTACAATTTTTCTTGTAAAGTAAACAAAGAAATTTTCATTGGAAATTGTTCTCCATTAAAAACACTTGTTTAGAGTCTAACAACATTTCTAATATGCAGTAATTGGATTTTTTTTTTATTTTAATTCCATTTCTAGAAAATAAAGCATCACTCAGCAAGTTTATACAAGTCCATAAGAAATAATCAAATAATATGCCATTCATAACCCAAATTTCATACTAAAAAATTACAACAAAAAATAATAACAAGAAGAAATTCATGCATATTTAACATGAATAAAGACAATAATGAAAATTAGAAATAAAAAAGGCAATTAATTACCTCATTGTTGCAGAAACAGAGACTTTGAAAACTAAGAAAAGACAGAAAACAAAATGTTAAGAAACTTCAGAGGATAAACAAAGTGAGAGAAATGATTCAACAATAATGGAAGATGAGAAGTGAAAGGGGTTTAATTATTAAAAGTGGTGTGTTCTGGAAAATGCTTGGGTTTCTGCTTAGTTGTAGAGAGAAATAGAGAATGCTGGAATGTTCCAGAAAAACCTTTCAAATACCATGCTTCTTTCTTCCTTGGTGTTCTTTTTAAATTTTTGGGTTTCAAAAGTTGGTTGTAGACTAATAGTCGGGCCACTTGTAAGTCTATGCCTTAAATCGGGTCAGATTTGGTTGGACTGAAAGATCGGAATTATTAGGCTGAATTTTTTTAGGTCCGGACTTATTTTTGACTTTATTTAGGAATATTAACATTTTTTACATTTTTTTTCCAATAGATTATTCTAAGTAAGAGTTCATATTGTTTAAAAGACAAAAAAAAAGTCACTAATTTTTACGAGTAAAGTATATCCAATTAGATACGATTTTTTAAAACTTAAAATAAAGTGTAATTTTTTTTTAATAGAAATCCGAACATGCTCTACTTTTTGTTTATTTTAAATTAGTTTGAACTACAAGTATTATTTTGATAAACATTTTTTCCAATAAAACTAAAAAAAAAAAAAAAAAATAGGATTCAAATACATGTGTCTCACATTCAATAAGAAAGAAAAAAAAAAAAAAATGTATCGTTTCTAATCACATTCGCTTTTTTATTAAACAACTTATCACCTAAAACTATAAGCTTCGAAAATTACTCATTTTAAATTTCATTGTTTTAAAAGATATTAGGTCACCAATTTGAACTAGGCATTATTTAGGTTTACATACGTCCAATTCAAAATTATGTTTTTCGAGGATTGGAGATCAAATTGGAACTCTTGGTCTTGGTACCGTCCATTCTTGTTTGATTCAAGTCTTGACACACCCTTAACATTAGAGTACGTGAGGTATGCTTGTTCTGCTTAACTTATTCCGAGTTAGTTTTCTCAAAAAAAAAAAAAAAAAAAAAAAAAAAAAAAAAAAAAACCTTATTCTGAGTTAGGCCTTATTCTTTTCAACACATTTACAATTTTAACTTTAAATTATTTTTATTGAAATAATTTATTTTTCCCTTTTCACGAAGCAAATTACCAATAGGTAAGTTGTCAATAGGTACTAACTTTAATATGTCAAAAAAAAAAAAAAAAAAAAAAAAAAAAGTAAAATACATTGTCCGTAGATAAAAACACATATTCCTGCTTCCCCCCAGTGGCCCCAAGTAGTCGAGTACTAACCCATGAAGCATTTTAAGCAGTACTGATAATAATCATTCAACTCTCACTTCTTTCTACCACAAGGGAATCAAGCACCTGAAGACTGAATTTGTTGAGCATGGGACGTGGAACTGCTACATGTAGTTTCACACCATTAATTGTACCACGTAAAACCAACTTAAATCCATACCAAATGGTACAGAACTACAGAATAGTGAAAACAAGGGTTTTCCATTGCAGGAGCTGCAGCTAGTACATTTCCTGATAGCCATCGTACCTGAGCACGGGTTGCAAGAATCATATCCGTTGTTACCAACTTGCTACCCTACTCACATAGTCACATATAGCAAATTCTATGTTTCTGATGGTTTTTTTTTTCTTCTTCTTTTCGCAATGCAGCTCAGGCCTGAAAACCATTCATTGAGTCACTTAAGAAATTCAGTATAGCTAAGCTAACAAATAACAGATTTTTTTAAGGTCAATTCACAATAAGAAAAGAGAACAAACACTTCACAAGAAAATTATTGATACATATCACATCTTATGTCGATATATAGCATAGCTTGCATTCCTAACATCTTCACAGTCCACACTTTATCTGATACCGACTTAGGTCCCTAAGCAACATAAGAGCAATCCAAATCCCTCTATTTCAGATTAAGCATGAATTGGGTAACTTCCCTGAGTTTCCGAGGAAAGACTAATCATGACTGACTCCTTGTTTCATCCTTCACAGCTGCCAAAATCTTTGTTCCGAAAGAGGTGAGACACCACAAGTGGCACCAGCTGCAGATTCTGTCTCATTGAAATTTGAAGGGAGAAGAGAAGCAAAGGGATGAAAGATTGAAATCATGCTAAAAAAAATTCAGATTTATTTGTTTGATTCATGCCCGTACAAATTCCAGTACAATTGTTTCGAATTGAACTGCTTATCCAAGAGATCCACTATAAAGTGGTGCAACAATCAAGATTGTTTCAGAGAAAAGTAAACAATTGTTATAAAGTTATGGAAACAAAATTTTGTGTAACTTGCTTCAAACATTACACATAAGCCACTTCTAAGAAAACTAGTGTATCTCAAGGAGCTCTATCGAAGGGTCGTGTATCATTGTAACAAGTCTCCCATACAGCTTCCATTGCATCCTTGGCAGCTGTTTCAGAGCAGTGAGGATTGGCCATCACTGATTTCATTACTCTTCTCTTCACACAATCTTGTTCATGACCTCGGAGCTTCATATAGCCACGCAATAGCTCTCGTTTGAAGTGGCAATCACCACTCAATGGCCAGCGCGAATCTCACTACAAGCATGATGAGCACAATTACCCCAATTTAAGTTTTTCGCTGTACAATCATCATAAGCATGAATGAGCTCATGAATCAGAACTTGGTTGACCTCATCTTGCATGTTCATATAATTGCTACATACCATTATCCCTCCACCACGAACATAACCACCACTAAGTTTCCGCTTACAATCAACAGCTTTTATGAAGTTATCTCCAATGCTACACCCTGATTTTTCCAAATTCTCCATCAGAAATCTCACCATGGGAGTTCGCAAGCTTCTCTGGATCATCTCTTGACACTCTTCCACAGAGACACCATCACCATACACCATTGATGAAAAGCTTTCTGTCCCCCCTTTGGCATCAGCCGCTTCACCTTCCATTTAGGCTTCCACCCACTGCGATTTTAAAACTTAAATAAATAAGGCATGAAATCTCTATATATTCCCAGACAAATTGTGCTAACACTAATAAAAAAAAAGCCTTTACTTTTGGTACTACACTACTGCTGACTTGTCATGTAAGAAGCAAGTGAGTTTGATAACTTATTAGCAATTGCTAGCAAAACATCAAAGAAACAAACAGATAAGTAATAACCCATCAAGTCCTATCAAAAATGGGGATGACAAAAATAAACAATCCCTAATTTAAAATTTTGGCCTTCAATTCAAGATTGTAAACATAGTTACATATAGAGAGAAACATGTTTTGCAACATAGCAAGAGACGAGGAAAATTATTGTTTACAGGCATTGCAGCTATATACATACAGTAGTTCAGAGACATCAAATCAGTTAAATGGATTAGCACATCATCAAAGCAATTTTTTTTATTCTTTTAACAAACAAGACAGAAATCTAGCTTTGGTATGACCTAGATTTATTCCCTCCATAGCAAAGGATCAAAGACAAAATCATATCTTATGACCAAGATAAAATAGTATCGATCACCAAGCGAATATGAAGTAGGTACTAAATTGTGTTCCAATTTTGATGAAAGCAAAGCAATCAGACTCAGCAGCTATACTCCAACATCCAACATCCAACCTCTTAGAGTCCCAGCTTAGTTGAAACCAAAGAGTTAAATCCTGGCCTTGTAAAACTCCAAATCAAACTGAATTTGTCGTTGCACCACACGTCCACACCTAAGGCAACAAATTGACCTTCCGAAATTTGATTAACAAAGCTAAAGCCATTTATCCCACCCCAGTAAACTTTAGCATCCGTAGCATAAATAGACTTGCCTCGCCCAAACCCCATTAACCAAGGGCCTCCACACTTCCTTATCAGGCCATCCCTGAGCCAGGACAGGAGGAAGAAATGCCATATAATTTGACTAAAGAACACAAGCTAAGATAAGAACGCAAGCAAAAGCGTAATTGTCATGGCTCACACTCAACAAATTCATTCTCATAAACAAGTCAAATGCAATAACATCATACACATTATAGAACACCCAATAATTACAACATTCCAAGTCTTAACATTTCTCAGAGGCATTTCATCAAGCAGTTGGCAGGCATAATCAACCTGACCCAGCTTAGTAAATGCTGGTAACAAAGTGGTCAAAGAGTAAGTATGAGGAATATCCAATTCAGCAAAGACAATTTTAACTGAACCCAAATCTTAAATTTTGGCATAAAACGAAAATCTGGAGTTATACCAAATCTGGAGTTGGGTATGTTGGCAGAGGCAGTGAGAGCAGGAAGGAAATCTCCTATTTCATAGTTCAGTCTTAACATTAAAGGGTTTTGCAACATATTAGCAACCAAATTTGACTCAATTACCAAGTCAAATTCTTCTTTGAGCAGTAATTAAATTATAACTAAAACATGGTTCAATAATCGATCCACCTTAGAAGAACCCTAGATTGAATTAAATTAAGGATTAATATTATATTGTGAAACTGATGTTCATTGATTAAGAGAAAACATCTTACTTAAGGTTCAATGGAGGAGAGAAAGCTCACAATTCGCTTCAACGGAAAATTCAGAGTAGTCGCCTCAATGGAGGAATGAGAACGGGAGGCGGGAGGAGCCAAGAAGGTGAAAAACTCAATATGTGTTGTAATTTTCCTAAGGGAGCTTAAATTAATAAATCGGAAAAAGCTACATCAAGGACACGAGGCGGGATTACATTATTCCACACTCTTTGACCGACTTCCCAAGGTTAAAAATGAGCCAATTTATTATGTTGTACGGATACCGACACGGACACGGACACGATACGGACACGGAAAAAACGGTAATCCTGAAATAGGGGACACAGGTACGGTGTATAACAAGGCATATAATATATCTAAAAAACGAGAATTTGACAACCTATTCAATAAAACACTAAATAATTAGCCTCAAAACACACAATTTTGTTTAAACAAGTAAATAAACAAAGTGTACGAAGGTTAGTGTTAAGGATTTTCGACACGATTAATTAAAGTTTAATAAACAAAGTGTACGAAAGTTAGTGTTAAGCATATAATATATCAAATGCATTAAAGTTTAATTAAACAAGTCCAACAACTAGACAACTATACAGTATACATTAAAGTATCAAAAATCAAATTTTCAGTTCTTCAATCCCAAATTACATTACAGACTTACGGTTACACAATATACAGGATGTATACATGAAGGATCAATTATGTACACTTGTTCCTGATTCTAATCAAATTAA